TCCAGTTTTCACTCTTTTTTTAAATAATCATCCGTCACTCCCAGCTCAGAAGCTTTTCATTTGCTTTTCATTTTCTGTGTCATGGTGAGATATAGAAAACATTTGGAGCAAGGATGTTACCTTCACATCTTGCATGGGATGATACAGTCTGACTGCTGGTATCTGCTCTTAAAAGAAGCATGATATGTTTATTTTTCAGGTTCCAGTATTAGTGGTGAAAAGTGGCCATATTTTGAAACCTCAGACAGGTTTCTGCTCTCTCTGACCCCTCCTCTTAAGTTTTCTATTTACTGATGACCTTAGAAGCTGTAAATTTTGCATGAGAAAGCAAAGAGGGAGGGTACCTGCTTTCCTGTGTAATGCACAGGATAGTAATGAGAAACAGATTCTCACAACTAGTTAGCATTCCAATAATAATGCATGACAGATAAATGAAAAACATGATCTGCAAAGGGGAACTAGTTTCTCAGAATTTGCAGTGCACTTTTTGACTCTCTCCAAGACCAGATCAGTAGCCATAATATAGAACAGACTGCAGTCACTTCATTACAGACCTTGATTTACAACTGTCTATGGCCTGAGCTGCAGCAAGTGATTCATATCAAATCCAGCATCCATCATTCCTGTCTTGCAGCTATCTACCATTCCTACCCTGTGGTCCCAAAAACCTCTGCCAGTTCTCTCTGTCCTGCTCTGCGTCTTTCCACTTATTTCTCTTCTGGGATCTTCACAAAGTTGTGCCATTCCCCACTAGGCTGTTGTCTGGCTTTTGTGGTTCTGGGCGCTCACAAGGGAACCTGCTCCCCTTTACAGACTGCAGTATCCCCAAGTTCTCCATCTCTATCAGTTTTCTGATCAGGGCATCAAAATCAGCCAGTGGGTGTGCTTTTAGTTTCCTGGCACTGTCCTGTTCTCTGAGGAATACAGCCTTAAGGTAGGATGCAGAAATTCAGTGATTATGATCTTTCGGTCCATTTCCTTTCTTCCCTCCATTGGCTCCTTTTTGCCTCAAGGTCCTCACTGCTTCATCTTGGGAATGACTTTACAGCCTCATCCACCTCCTCATTACAAATCCAATGGGGTTTTGACCTCACATAGGAGAGTCATCTGATGCAGACAGTGATAACCTTTCAGGTGCTGCCAATTGTCCTGTGCTTCACTGGACCGGAGAGCTGCTTTACTAGATTTCATGCACCAGCTCTTTCAACCTGATGAGGGAGAAAGCATGAAAGCATACATTAACTAGTTTGCCTTACCCCCCTCCCCCAGCCCAACCTGAGAGCAGTGGGCAATGGACTCTACTGGCTTGTGTATTTTCATCATCTTTGCACCTCACACTGACTCAGGTTGCAGAATTTGCTGGAGGAGAAAAATATGAAATATTGAGTGACAATCCATAGAAAGAGAAATTATTGGTTCCGTGTAGTCATCTCTCCCTTATGCTACCCATTTCCCACCACTCTGGATCCATTGTATGGGCAGAGGAATCCATATCCACTGTTCTTTTTTACTTTGGAGCCTCTGCTTTAAAGGAGTCCAAGGGCAGTCTTTTGGACTACACTAAGAATCCACTCCATTGGCTGCAGAAATGAAGTTGTATCTCTTGGTCTGGCTAAAAAAGCACAGCATTCAGTAGGAATCTGTTGTTCAGTGCATTCTGTGTGACAATAAGCAGAAAGGACCATGAAGACTCCAGAAAAGGACCAGGCCATGTGGAGTAAGGTTTTTGAATGGAGGCCAGTCTTCTTCAGAAACGAGAAGTGATGTTAACCTACTAATGTACCGGCCAGGAGAGAGCCCAAGCAAAGACTAAGATCAAAATAAGTCCAACTTAGGCCCATTATCCAACACCTTTTAAAACAAGAGAGTTTACTGAAGACAAATTTGAAGAATGCAGCACAATCTTTGCCTCCACATAGGGTGACAATGATGATAAAGCATAATTTAATTCTGGGAATAGAGATGAAGTCGGGGAAAAAGAAGTAATTATTAATTTAATTCGTTCAACCTTTTTTCTCTATCTTTATTAGCCTGAATGCATACAAATTGAATTTTTCACACGTGCTTGCATCCACATATGCAAAACACTGCAATAGGGAGGGTCCAGAGAAATATGCATACAAGGTCTGAGACGGCCAGATGAATATTATGCTATTGTCAACCACACTGAGTAAAAACACCTTTGCCAGGCAGTCTGGTTCTCCATATTTTTATCTTTTTTAAAGAATTTTGCAGTTTGATTTTATGAACTCTTCAAAGATGCAGCTGTATTGAAATAGCACTACTATTAGCTTAAATCTTCCTCATTTCACATTTCATCTTAGTACATCCTTTTCCTAATTTCACTACGCATACTTTTCTGGTGAACATATATAGCCACAAACAAAGCTAAAGGAGAGTCAGAACTCTCTGTACTCAAGCAAGGATTGTGTGGTCACTGTTTCTTTTTAAAACCATGGCTTCTATTGAATTTTTAATGTCTGTCACTCAGTAAAGGGCAATCTAGACTTCCTCTATCCCACCCTAATCATTTGCTTCTGCTGGCTAGCTGCAGAGTAGCCTTTGTGTGACTGCACAGTTAACTGGATCCAAAACTCACATATTAGAAAAGTAATCTAATAAAACATTTAGAAAGGTTTGTGGTTGTTTTTTTTAATATATTAAAATTAATTTATTTAATAAAAAATTTAGAAGGGTTTTGTCACCTAATACATCCCATAAATTGAGCCACATCAACACTAGTGTCAGCAAAGGAAAAGATGTAGTAGCAAGTGTCCAGTGTCAGGAACCCTTGCTGAGACAGGAGTATGGACTTATGCCAAAATGAATATGTCACCATGACCTCAGTGGTAGTATGAGTTTTCACATCTAGCCTCTATTTACTTACCTACTTCAGTGAAATAAAGAATTTCAGAGGTGCAGGTGAGGACTTGAAAGTATTTCACACTCCCTGTGAGGAATGCAGAACACCTTTGATATACAGTCTTACTCTGATTTGGGTGCAGATTCCTTTAGATCCAGAGATCTCTGCAGGGAACATGCCTCTTGAAGTTGCTTTACTAATTGCTCTGCAGGACTGAAAATTCCACGTACCAGTCACACTCCCTCTTACTCTTTTCTGATGTGGTCAGTCGTTGGTGTGTTAAAGCTTCTGTCCCTCTCCTGTGTTAGTGTATAGCTACTGATACATGGTGTATTGAACTTGCTCTGTATTACACACCATTCAGTAGGAGACAGTATATAAGAAATTTAGGCAGCCATGTAATACCCAACAACTCCACATAATGAATATTTCTGAAAAATTGATCTTATAAGTTCCTTCAGTATTGTTGTAATAAGCACTTTCTAGGCTGAGTGCAAAATCTTCTGAAAACTAGCTGGAAAAAAAAATCCTTGAATATCTTGTACAGTGAGCTGAAAATGACCTAAGATCATCACTTGATATAGAAATCTCAGTATCTATGAATGTGTATGTCCTTGCATGTGCTTAAGTCCGTAGTAACTTTCATAGGTCTGGGAAAAATTATTACATCGATTTGACAAGCTAAATTCCTGATCTGTCTGAATTTCAGACATGTTTCTGGACATCGGGGGGGGGGGGAA